CTTCCTCATGAGGCTGCGCTGCTTTCTCTTCCTCCTCCGCAGGGCCGGGCTCAGCTGCTTCTGTGATTGGCTGTGACTCTACCCCAGAGGGCGGGGCTTGTTGAGTAAACACCGCCTCCTGTTCCTCCTCGGGCTCTTCTTTGATCTGCTGGGTGGAGATGCTCGTGCTTGGTGGCTGAGCATGGTACTCCGCCTCCTCTTCGCTCTCGCTGTCTGACGATAAACTCCTCTCCTCCTTGACCTCCGCAGCGCACTCTGTCTCCGCGGTAACCGACGCCTCAGGAGCGGGGCTTTTGGGTTTGGCTTTGATGACTTCCTCGATGACAACGGTCTCTTCCACGACCTCTATGGCCTCTGGCTGGCCGTTGACTTTGGGTTTAACCTCTGCGCTCTACACCAGACAAGCACACAAACACACACGAGGGATGGAGAGAAAAGCAAAAAACATAAACCATGACCACGGAACAAAAACTGAAAGAAACAAACTTCCTGCGGACCTTAGTCGAAGTCAATGTCATTGTAATGCAAATAAAAACAAGGCTGTGACGTAGAGATGCACAGTCTGTTCAATGAGTGCGGTTTTGCGGACCTTGAAAACACACTGAAATGTGTGATGCGTACTTGAGAAGCAGCAAAACTGTATACAAGAATAAAACCTTGTCTTGTCTGGTGCCTAAAATGAGAGGAAACATTGCTGCGGCTCTCAGAAGTCATCATAGTTGGTAAACTTCTTCAGTTGTGAACGGAAACTACAACAAATACAATTTTTGCCTTTCCATTTTTTCCAATAGCAAAATACAAAACCCAGGATTTCTATGACTTTCCAAAAGTTGAAAAATTAGAGAGATTGATTACTTTGCTCAGAAGAGATGTCATATTTGCCCTCCCTCTGCAGCAGTATTAACACTGTTAACTAGTTTTGTGTCATTTAAAGCCATTGAAATAAAACAAAGTGTTATAAATGTCAATTACATTTTTAAGTATAATCATGTCTGCTAAAGGGTCTATTGCTGAAAACTGAACTGAAAACAATCCTTATTACTGTATTACATCCACATTCGTCTCTCAATGAAATGTGTCTTCTTGTTAAGACGTTTAGATATGTGACCCTGGACCACAAAACCAGTCTTAAGTGTCAATTTTTCAAAATTGAGATTTATACATTATTTATACATCAAGCTGAATAAATAATCTTTCCACCGTATGGTTTGTTAGGATAGGACAATATTTGGTCGAGATACAACTATTTGAAAATCTGGAATCTGAGGGTGCAAAAAAATCTAAATATTGAGAAAATCATCTTTAAAGTTGTCCAAATTAAGTTCTTAGCAATGCATATTACTAATCAAAAATTAAGTTTTGAGATATTTACAGTAGGAAACTTACAAAATATTTTCATGGAACATGACCTTTACTTAATATCCTAATGATTTTTGGCATAAAAGAAAAATCGATAATTTTGACCCATACAATGTATTGTTGGCTATTGCTACAAATATACCCCAGCGACTTAAGACTGGTTTTGTGTTCCAAGGTCACATATTTTTCTTGTGTCTGATTGCACACACTGTATGTCTATCGCTCACAGCACTGCTCTCATTGGTACTGAATCAAACATGGCGTCTACTCCGACTAAGGTCCATGCACTAACACTGCAACGCCACACACATACAATCAACAAGCAACATAACGAGAAAGAGAGACGATCATAACAAGCTGAAAGATGAATGAATGCATGGACAAACAGATAGATGATCAATCTGGTGAAGAGGGCTGGAGTCATGATGTCTGCAATGGAAAAAGGATAAGATGTGTGTGCAGTGTTAGGTGTGTGTTTGCTCAGGTGATGTTAGGTGTTAGGCTGAGCGAGGACGATGGACCACCTTGCTGGCGTCTCTGATGTCCGTCTCAGGACAGGGAGGGGTTTTCTGTGGAACCTGGAGGTAATCATAGGACAGTCACTCAAACACACGCTCTCAGAGGAGTCCTTCACGGGACGAGACCTGCCTGTGTGACCCGATCACAGGAGATGCCTTTGAGACCAGCTCTACATGCCCATGTGTCTCAACTGAGCACCAGTGATCGGGTGACCCGAGACAGCAGGTGTGAAGGGGTCTGAGAGCCAGCAGTGATCACGTAAACACACACACAAAACAAGAAGTCTCACACACACGACGGCAGAGACGGAAATTAATGGCTAATTATGTTGTTACTGGAAGCTTATGAGCAGTCTGGCAATCAGACGCAGCAGTGAAACGCCCTCTAGAGCTGATCTCATGTGTGTGATTCACTAGAAGAGCTGTGTACTGATGGATGTCTGTGTAAATATAGCTGTAGCTCTCAAATCTCAATTATATTGTGGCAGATAATCGCAACATATTTGACACAGTTGACTGTGTTTTGATTTTGATGGTTTAATTGCACATTACTTTTTAGATGTATAAGAAATAATTACTGTTTACATAATTCATATCTACACACTACTGTTCAAAAGGTCATTTGTTATTTAATCAATTAATTTATTCAGTAAGGATGCATTAAATTGATCTAAAAGTGACAGTAAAGACACTTATGATGTTACAAAGATTTCTATTTCAAATAACTGTTTTTTTTTTTTTGCTGTTCTTTTGAACTTTCTATTCATCTGTGAATCCTGAAAAATAAAATGCATCACAGTTTCCACAAAAATATTGTGCAGCACAACTGTTTTCAACATTGATGATAATCAGAAATTTTTCTTGAGCAGCAAATCAGCATATTAGAATGATTTCTAGTAATAACAGTAATAAACCCTTACATTACCAAATGTTTGAACAGTAGTACATTATTTCTATGTGTGTACACACACTGTGCTTCCTCAACACATCAGCGAGGGCTGGATCAATACCGATGTGAGCATGAACTTGGACTGTTTTAAAGAGGTGCAGACATGTGGCGGCAGAGAATATAAAGCCGTAAGCCGTTGCAGAGACAGAAAGCCAGAGCAGGCCAGATGAAGAGACAGACAGCAGTAGTAACAGCTGAGACTTTACTGGCCTCTGCTGGAGCAGCTGCGGTACTGCAGAAGCCAGCCAGCCCAGAGAAGCACGCCTTACTCAGAAAGAGAGAGGTGAGCTCCTCTTCCAGACTCTACAGGGTAATGAAACCACAGCGAAGGGCAAGACAAGAAGCGAGCGGGTGCAAGGACAACAACAGACACAGAAACAGAAGAAACAAGAGAGAGAGAGAGGGAGAGAGAAACACAAAAGCACTTCAGTGATTCTACAGAGTGAGGAGAGAACAGCTACTAACACCACACACACACACACTCTACAGGAATAGCAGCATTTCAACAAGAACAGAGCAGAGAGCATGCGTGCGAACGACAGTGTTTGTAACCCACAGACAGTGTTTCACACAATGATGGCATCAAGAAAGTGAAACGTGTGCAAATAAAATGCAAAAATCACACACACACACACACACACACACACACACACACACACACATCAAAATGTGCAATATAGTCTTTTGGCAGGAGCTGATCATTTACACTGACTGATAAAAGAGCAACTTTAAAACGCATACAAATAAACGGAGCATGTGCGCAGTTGAAAGAGACACAATGCATTGAAAACAGCAACTGAGATGAGCAAACAATGAGAGAAGCATTCTGCCAGGAAACACAAGAGAAAAACACAAAATATACTCGAGCAGTGAGGAAACCAAAGGACAGAATGAGCAAATGTGCAGCATGAACAACAGAACTCAAAGAGCCAATCAGAGTGAACTGATGCACTAATTAGATTGAGAACTGCCCAGCCATTGGCTCGTGTAGAGGACAGGAGGCGTGTGTGTGCGTGAGACAGTTGGGATTATGGGTTGTCTTCTTAAATCTACTTAGACTCAACCAGACAATGGTGCATTGTGACGTCAGGAGTGACAGGTGTTAGCAAGACATCTGAGAGGCACAGAAGTCAGCTGGTTTCCTCAACGGACATCTCGGTGACACCCGTCTAAGCAGCCATTTCTAGTCATAACAGTGCATGTCTACTTCAGCGGGGAAAACACGAACGCTCCAAAAGTTTGTCAAGATGGTGTTTCAAAACACATTTCAAAACAGGAATAAAATCGGATTAAGCTTTTGTTTTGCTCAAGCTCATGCACTTTTTGTAAGCTCTCTGTATTTGGGTAACCCTACAGCTGGTCGGGCGACAACTCACGATTCACAGGTTTTTAACTCCATTCAGGAACAATTTTTGCAAATTCAGACCAATTCGATCAGATTCACAATGAGATCCAATTGAAGTATTCTGGGTTTTTGTAAGTGCATTCATATGATGTAAATGCTTCTCCTAGCATTAGGTAATAAAAAGAATAAACACATTAAATATGAGTCCATACAGGCTACTTAAAATAGAACGAAGAGTGCAATGTAGGGCTGGGACAATACATTGATGCATCACGAATCGATAAATGATTCTGCATCAATTCTGAGATTTTCCGAAGGCATCGCGATTCTCTCTTGAATCGATTCTGAGCTTAGTTTTTAACAGCAGATGGCACTGCGTGCTTTAGAAACAGCCGTATTCTGCTTGTTTCCAGTTCCTTACACATGCAATGTTCTGATAAAATATTTTAGAGCTGAGAACACATTGCAAACTATTCCATATATAGTTTTTTTTCTAGGCTGAAACAAATGGTTCACAATTCCAAGTTTTAAGATCGATAGGCACTGGCAGGATTTATAATTGATGCATTGAGAAAATTAGTGAATCGTTACACCCCTAATTCATCGAGATATAAGGACACTTATTTACACAATATTTTCCCAACTGTCCCACTGAACAACAGAAAACACAGTAAACCAGCTTCTCAGTAGAGGAGAGCGAGAAGGACAGGAAGTGCAGGACATGCAGAGCGTCTGAGGAGGCGTCCGAATCCCGAGCAGAAGCACACGTACCCCTTGAGCCTGCAGGCGCAGGGTGGTGGCAGGGCTGCCCGTCAGGCGCTTGTCCCACTGACTGGGCCTGGGATCAGGCGCAGCCTCCATAAAACTGCGCTTTAGCTCACTAATGCTAGCCTGATGCTTCAACACATCCTCCTGGGTCTTATCCAAGTCCTGATGGGCCCACAGCACCAGCGAGAGGCAGGCAGGGGGAGGACAAAGGGACAACCAACAACCAGCACATTAGTCATGGAGAGACCAGAACCACATTAGAGTCGAACCTCACTGCTCGCCAGACGCACCCCAGCAGACGGATGGATGGATGTTAAGACCTGGAGTCCTGAGCTCTGTTCAAAGACCCAGCAGCAGGAGTTAATATTTACATTGGCATTGTGTGCAGTCATGATGCCCCAAGGAAGCTCGCTAGATTTGGAACAGAGCCGTAGGGTTCTGGAACATCTCTCAATAACTAATGACGTCCAGCGTTACGGTTTTAGTCGTAATTTGACACGAAAGAAAATGAGGTTGTGAGGGACAGAAATACAGAGGCCCTGATTTATTAGTGAACTGATGAATGGGTGTGATGTCATTAAGAACAAAATAAGAACAAAAAGCTAGTTCAAACTTTTAGCCAGATTTCATTTCAAACCACCGAAACAAAATCTGGCTCAACCAAAATTCGTTCCGAGTTTGTTTTGGTGGTTTTGAATAGTTTGCCTCCGCAGACTTTCCAGAAAACTTTGTGCTGCTATTAAAGGAACACTCCACTATTTTTGAAAATAGGCTCATTTTCCAACTCCCCTAGAGTTAAACAGTTAAGTTTTACCGTTTTCGAATCCATTCAGCCGATCTCCGGGTCTGGCGGTAGCACTTTTAGCTGTAGCTTAGCATAGATCATTGAATCTGATTAGACTGTTAGCATCTCGCTCAAAAATGACCAAAGAGTTTCTATATTTTTCCTATTTAAAACTTGACTCTTCTGTAGTTACATCGTGTACTAAGACCGACGGAAAATGAAAAGTTGTGATTTTCTAGGCCGATATGGCTAGGAACTATACTCTCATTCCGGCGTATTAATCAAGGAACTTTGCTGCCGTACCATGGGAGCAGCAGGCGCAATGATATTACACAGCTATAGAAACTCTTTGGTCATTTTTGAGCGCGATGCTAACAGTCTAATCAGATTCAATGATCTATGCTAAGCTACAGCTAAAAGTGCTACCGCCAGACCCGGAGATCGGCTGAATGGATTCGAAAACGGTAAAACTTAACTGTTTAACTCTAGGGGAGTTGGAAAATGAGCCTATTTTCAAAAATAGTGGAGTGTTCCTTTAAACACCTTCGAACTGTGCCTGAATAATCACAAACAGTACACGGTTCCTCAGGTATTGCTTGACCCCCCGAGCGAAGAACGAAAAACAACTTTGGTGCATGTATAACAGGATCTTTATATGTTGTACATCCAGGTGAAACATGTACATTCCTTTACATCCAATGAAATAATAAGCTGTCTAACTCAAACTAGTCAGTGTCTGTGGGGAGCAGTGAGGCAGGACTTGTTCATTACACACTGAGGACTGGAGCGGTGCAGTGATACACTGCCTCAGTGCCAAAGACACACAATTACTCCAGTAGGTCATCAGTAGGTTGACACTGTGATTGATCTGTTTGCTTGAGCATCGGGACCTCTTATGGCGCTTTTCCACTGCGTGGTACAACCAGGTACCAGGTACTGTACCCAGTGGAAAACCCCCCAAAAGTGAACCGTACCGAGCCGTACCGTGCCGTACCATGCAGTGGAAAAGCGCCATTAGACGACTCGTTATCTGATCAAACTGCCAAAAGGAATGCAAAATAACTATTTACTACTAGTGTTTGGCGACAGTGATTACACACTTCAGCTTTCATCCCTGACATTTAGGCCACATTTTTCCAGGTAACCACTAACTAAATGCTCCAAATCAGCTTGTTATGATGTGACGTGTCTATCTCAGGGGTCATGAGCCGGGTGTCTTTGGCACTGAGAGGGTCACCCCAGGATGAGTACATTCATTTAGTTACAAAATAAAATGTAAACAATCACCACAATCAAAGCAGAAAGTCACCTGTCTGGTTAGGGAAATACTATTAGTGATGTTATGAGAACCATTCCCACATGACATTTACACAAATGTTAAAAACACCACGTATCACGTACATTCAGTTCACCCGCAGACATGCACCCGCTTTAGCATGCAGCCCATGCACTGGTGCACACGCGCACACACACACTCACACACACTCACACACACACACACACACACACACACACACTCACACTCACACTCTCACACACACTCTCACACA